GTAACAAATAACAAATATTATTTTCTTAATTTACGTATTATTTTATTTTAGTTTGAATTTTTAAAACTTTAGAGTAAAAATAAAAAGAGGACAATAGCTAAGATTGAATCCAAAAATAGGTAATAAATAACAAAAAAAGATTCTTCTTTTTAAAAAAATCAACAATATTTATCTATGTACAATCTTGATTGAAAATTTGAATATATACATTTCAAATAATTAAATTAAAAATGTAATTAAAGTTTATGTATTAGATGTTTAAAATAGTCCCTCTCTATAAAATAATCTTAATATTAAAAGCACATCGATACTTTGCCATTTTTTCGTAATTTGACTCTCAAAAACACTTTTTAAAGAAAATTAGTCAAACACAAATTGCTTATCAAAAACACCTTTCAAATGAATTGGCCAAACACAAATTGTTTTTTTTTAAAAGCTATTTTTTAAAAACAAACGCTTCTAAAAATAAGCAGTTTTTAGCAGCAATGTCAAACAGACTCTTAATCAAAGAGGAAATATTTGTATTAAATAAGGTAATTTTTAATTAATCTTACCTAGTTCAAATAAGAACTACGTAAATAAGAGTAAATTAATTTTAAAACCCTTATAATTAATATTTTTTAAGAGACAGTGTAAAAAAAATACGATGAATAATTTAAGACAGACAGAGTGGTAGAAGTTGTCTTACCATTCTTATCTTCATAAAGAGCAAAAAAGGAAAGAAAAAAAAGGCTAATGACACAAACTCGAACCGGAAGCCTCGAAGTCCTTGCCAACTATATCACTAGCCTAAAATTACCCTTTCGAAGCTGATGAAACTATTAGAGTTGCATTCTGAGGCCGTCTCGAAAACTCACATAAAAATCAAACAAACGTCTATCAGTCCCAACAAACTCATAAATGACTTAGGGTCGCTATAAGAATGATGGCGAAAATAAGGAATTTACACAGAAATGACCGGGAGGGTTATCACATGAAAATTGTAATAAATAATAATTTTAAAAAAGTACAAAGCTTACATATTAAAAAATCATTTATATTTTATCTGAAATATTTTAGAACTTTGAATTAAACAATTCAAATCCTCATATCAATAAATAATGCTTTACGACAGTTAACATCCAAGGTAATATATTTCAAATATGTGGCTAACATCCTATTAACTTAGAGTAATCCTTAGTTCTTTAAATAACAATAATACAATGTGAAGTTAATAAATCTAAACCTAAGAACAAAACAAATCAAATATAAAAACAAAATAGAAAAACGGGAGAGGATTTAGGTTTAAAAACAAGATTGGAAAAGAAGATGAAGTGCGAGACGAAGGCGCCAGAGACGACAAGTTTTTTTTATCGAAGACAATAGAGATAATATTTTTTTATTACAACTAGAAACTTCACCACACTTACACATTTTGATACTTGCAAATTTGAACAATTAAGAAATGTCCAATAATGTTACAATAAAGAAACATATAGTGCGACATATGCACGAAGGTGGCAGCACAGGCCAAGACGCAGGCGGTCCAGGCCCAGGCACAGGTTGTGCAGGTGCAGGAGGTGGCGTAGGCGGTGCAGGCGAAGGGCAGTGCAGGCACAGGCGAAGAGGAATATAAGATACAAAGAATTCTTGTAGGTCTAAAAATATATGTATTCTAAGAATCTGGATAATATGTTTAGATGATTACAATTTTAACCTTAATTAAAAAAAATTATGAAGGATATAAAAGACTTTAAACAATATTTAACATATATATTATGAAGAAATAACTAATTTTAAGTTATGAAAAAAGTTTTAATGTATATACATATTTATACACGATCGCGCATATAGAGATAAAATTGAACCAGCACAAAAATCACAATTGTAAGCAACTGAATATAGCTTGTTCGAAGCAAAGGTAACCCTCCGTGTAGATGCCAAAGCAGGCATCTAAGGGCATTTTTGCCATTTTATGTGGCTTAATTTTAATTTGTTTATCTTATTTTTCTAGGTCTTTTATATATTTAAAAATTATGTAACAAATATTATACATCATCATATTAATAACTTAAAATATTTAAAACACATAAAAAAAATTGACTCTTGAAATTTTATTAATATCATATAAATTGGAACAAAGAAAATAACACATATATATATATCGATTATTTGAGTTGTGCAAACCACATTAAAAAAAACTGAATACTTTATCTTTTTGGAGATTCACAGTAGCTCAAATATTATGTGTCCTGGCATACTCCTCTTCTGCTGAATGCAACAAATATGGCCAATATTAATAATATATTTACTAAATATACTTTCATTGTGGTTTCATTTTTTATCTAGAAAGTTAAGAAAATTGACTTACCATAAATTAAATAGATATTCAACTTGAGATGTATGAATTCATATTTGTCTTTTTATTTGAAAAAATAATTTTTTTTATAATATGGATAGATATAACATTTCACGATAATCATATTATTTATTATCATGGTCGTCATGCCGTCGAAACAAAAATAACTTTAGGGGCAATAATTATATACATTAACAAAGAGTGTTAAATCTTTTATCGGTATTAGTTAATTAAATATTTAGAGAGTCAAATCCAACCTCATGTTCCTATTTTGTTAACCCTATCAATTGCATATCCTAACCATTCTGAAATTTCTCCGGCACTTTCACTTTTTTGTACATTATTGTTATATAGACTTTATATGATTAATAAAGGGTATAAAGGTGAAGGATATTTTGGTCAATCAATATTTGTATTCATGCTTTTATAATAACAGCTAGTCTCTATGAACGTGTCTCGCAGGTTAATCTCTGACTATAAAATAATAATTTTATTATTATTTCGTTGGTTCTAAAACACTGCTTCACCTTACCGACGACATGATCATAGATAAGAGGGTGTGAAAGTCGTGAATTATGATAGAAGATTAGTAAATAGTGGAATGTTACATACTTTTGATTTCTATCATCATCTGGTGTTTATGGTATTACGATTATCGCACTATTTTGTTGTTGCTACTATTTTTCTATTAGTTGGTATGATTTCTTCACTGTTGTTTTTCCATTTCATACCTACTTTGAGTTGTTGTATTCATATTGAAGATTCTTTGATAACAACCTCTATACCTCCATAAGATAGCGATCTACGCTCACTTACCCTCTAAATATGTTAGCGTAGACTCTAACCAATTTTAGAACTGTCAGTAGTACTCGACAGCAGGGGCGGACCCACGTGTTGTCCAGGGGTTCACCCGAACCCCCTCGATAAAAAACTACACTGTATATATAAGGTGAATTTTCTGGATTTATGTGGATATATATATTTTGAACCCCCTCAATGACAAGGTGAAGGAGATAGCCCAGCGGCAGCTCCCTTCAATATTAAGCCTGACGTCCAGGGATCGAATCCCTGGGTTAGCGTTCTTTTTTTTTAGTTTTTTACTTTAAGTTTTTTTTATTATTTTAGTTCCAGTTCCGATTTTCATGTTTTTTTTAGTTTTTTTTTAAATAAAAAGTGCTAAAATGTGATGTTAAACCCAAAAAATTCAAGGGTCCCATACTCCCATTCCTAAATGCTAATAACTTTTTCACTTTCCAAATCCCTAAATCACTTTCTTGTTCTTCTCCAACACTCAAAACTCAAATATTAAAATCATCTCCCATAATATTCTATTGTTGATTTGACATATTTTAAAGGGCTAACTTTTTGTTTCACTGTAATCACTTATGTTAGTTTCGAATTTCTTGTAACAAAAATAACTTATTGTACCTATAAACTATATACTAATACTTCCTTGAAAAAAAAATCTGTTGACTTATTTACACGTTTATACTTTTATTTTTCGAACCCCCTGAACGAAAATCCTAGGTCCGCCACTGCTCGACAGAAATCACATCCAAAAATCATTACACTAAATTTTGTTTTGACTGAAAATTCTGCATTAAGTGTACCATTTTCCAACATCCTCCCTTTTATATTTTTAATCCCAATGTATGTATAGGTTAGTTAAAAATTGTTTCCACAAAATGCTACCAACATTATCATTGTCCAATATAAATCGACTTCATAATTTCATTATTTTCCTGGTCAAAATAGACTTCATGGTATCATTATTACCTTATAAAAGGACTGTGTACCGGTTGGTTCTGTTCATTTATGAAGTCTATTGATCTGATATATCGGTTATCAGTTTATAAACAAGATAAACTGTTATAGAACCACTAAGATATTGGATTATCGGTTATCTATCGTTATTGATTGGATTATCGGTTATCGATTCAGTTATTGGTTTAACCGTTGAGATTTAACACAAAAAATAAATCATTGAAATTCACTTAGGAAACAAGAATATATCTTGTTCAAAAGCAAACACTGTCACATTGTAGAATAATTGAGAGGTTGAGACAACCAAAAATAAAGGTAAGAAACTAAACTTTAAGTCAATGACTTTATATACCATATGGTATAAATATAATTATTTAATTTACTACGAGTTATCAGCTAACCTGTCCGTTAAGAAAAAATGTCAAACCGTTAAAAATCGATAATTCGATAATAAAAAAATCTAAACCATTACGCTAAACTAATAGATCATTATCAGTAAACCAATAACTTCACAAGGGATAAGGTTAATGGGCTTAATTAGTGTCCCTTATGAGTGGACCCGATCCAATAATTATTTCCAACAGATAGAAACAGAGGAGATAAGGCAGAACATTTTTCTAAGATATAGTGTTTAGTTTATTCTGTAGGAATCAATAAAAGTGTTTAAATTTGTTCTATTTGTGATAGAGAATTTTCCAACTGTCATAGATGTAGATGGAGAATGGAGTTCAATCAAAGTTAGAATATATTCCTTGATCAACCACTTTACCAATAAGCTTTTTTATTGCTCTTACAACTCGCAAAATTTTTGGAACAATTGATACAACTTACAAGTACTACTCTTATCTTTTGGTCTGCAGTTGATGTGGTTGCTCCTCTACTCGTACTATCAGGAATCATGCAGAAATCGTTTGCTCAAAATTTTGTAAAACTATCATCACTGCGAGTAATTCTTGTTATCTTGTTCTATTGTTTGGTTATGATGGTTTCAGCTAGAGGTAACTAACTCTTTGATAGTAGTTTAGTTGCAAAGCTATATTTAAGCTCTGTCTGTTTCAATTTGTTTGTCTGATTTTGACTTGGACGAGGTTTAGAAAAGTAAAGAATATTTTTAAATCTTCTGCATCTTAAACTAAAGATACGTAAAATGTATCAAAAGAGACGTTTAGTTTTACATATCCTTTGATTGACCTGATATTACTGAACATGTATATTGGTAATTCATTTGTAACGACATTGTTCAGGCTCTCATGTGACTAATCCTGGTATTGAGTCTAATAAAGATGATTTGAAGCAAGATGAGACATCATTATCAGTATCCACAAGGAAACGATTAGAGCCCCTGCATCGCGATACAGAATACAGACTAGTAACAGCAACTCAGGAGCTAGAAATGGAATTAGGAGCTGGTAATTATAACAACTCTAAGACGTGGTTATGGTCTCAACAACAGCAGCCTTTTCAGCTGTGTCTGGCTTGCGAGTGTTGTGTGTCCGCGGCAGAGATGGAGGCAGAGGCAGAGGCAGAGACAGAGCCCAGCAACTGTACAAGCTTGCCTTGTTGCTTTCTTATAGACTGTCAACTCCCTAATAAGCCTTACGGAGTTTGTGCTTTTGTACCTAAGACTTGTAATTGTACCTCTTGTGCTACTCCTCTGCTCTAAGCCTTAACCAGACGTATTCAGCATTTGAAATTTATGAATTTCTTCAACGATCTCAAGTTAATACTATGATTGTGATTGGATTCAGTGTCAAATATTTATAATATTTTGTTGATTTCTTAATATATATATATATATATCTATATACACAAAATTGTTGGGTTCACGATGAACGCGTAAACGAGCTTTTAGATCCTCCCCGGCTAGCTACCAATACCCTCCTTACTTTCATCCCACATTGAAACAAACTCAATTACTAGATCAACACAAATTTAACTCAAATAACCGATAAACATAATGCACTAACTCGTAATTAGAATTACAAAAGGAATTTAAGAACTAAAAGGGAAATTGAAGAACACAGATAGAAGAAAAGGATGAGAAGTAGAACTCAAAGAAAAAGGATGAGGAAATACAAATACTCCATAACAATTTGCATAACGGTTCTTTCAAACTCCTAGTCCTTTTTAACAAATGGTAATTGAGTCTGGATCCAAATAAAACTCTTTAATATTTTACTCGACTCAATAGTTAGAACTGAATCAGTCTCATTCATCCATTTTAGCTCATAGGCCCTTACAGGGTCAGCTTGGTTCACAACACACACGTTCCACAAGAATTCCACGGTAAATAGATGACTAACCATGCCCGCTCTACTATGGTATACTTCCTCTATCTCAATTTAAGTAATATACTTTATTTTTTAGTCAGTTTCAAAAAGAATATCACATTTTTATAACCAAAAGCATTTAAATTTAATAATTCTCTTTTTACCCTTAAAAAATATATGAAGTAATTTCTAGTTATTCAAATGATCAATAAGTGTTTTCAGACTACAAATTTTAAAATGACATCCCTGTGCAAAGTGTAAGTCATTGGGACATCGTAGTAGGAAATCCTAGACTTTATTTAAAGCAGGTAACAGAAATAATACAAATTTCTTGAAATTTACATAAATAGAATAAATTGAATATTACAAGGAGTCCTTTAAGTACATCCTACTACGATGTCCTACTGACTTACAAAAAGGAGTCTTAAGTTATATAAAAGTGTATAAATACCTTTGACTAGAAACATATTGTCATATAACTATTCACTTTCGGTAAAAATTCTTTCTTTACCAAAAAAAAAAAAAAACTAAAGATATTACTTTCCTTTACTACTATATAGAGAAGTGTAGAAGCAGCATCTTTTGATCGACATATATGTTTTTAGTCAAAGATATTTATATTTTTTTTATATTTTTTGTTATAATATTTTTTTGTTTTAGCCTTTTTGAATATTTAAATATCTTTAAAGAAAAACTAAAGATATTAGTTTACTTTACTACTCTATAGAAAAGTGTAGAAGCGCATCTCTCAATCGACATGCGTGTTTCTAGTCAAAGGTATTTATGTAATTTTAATATTTTTTGTTATAATTTTTTTTCTTTTTAGCCTTTTTGAATATTTAAAAGTCTTTAAAAAATCCTATAAATCACAATAATCAATAACTTAAAATGTTTAAATTTTAATAGTCATAAAAAATTTGATTGACTCTCGAAATTCTATTGATGCAACATAAATTAGGATAGAGCAAGTAACATATATTATTTGAAAAATGACATGAAAATCACAATAATTAGCAACTTAAATTTGATGGACTCTTAAAATCCTATCAGTGCCACGTAGAGCTGTCAAAATGGGTTGACCCAACCAAATCCAACTCTAACGGGCTAGAGAGTTAAATGGGTTAGGACTAGCTGACCCTTTTAGTTAAAGGACCTATAAAATAGTAGCACAACCCAGCCCTAAGCGGGCCACAGGTTAGGACGGGTCGACCCTTCAACCAAAAAATGAACAACATTGGTGTCTTAGAAAGATTATCTAAGAGTATCGAACATTGATATCTAATCAATACATACAAAAATTCATTTATGAATTACACACTTCAATGAATACTTACAAAAATACATAATAGTCAAGATACATCACCGTAAGATTCATCCGAGCAAAAAATATTACATGATCACTTTTTTCATAAACAAAACAACAAAGAGGAAATGGAAAATTTAAAAATAAAAGTAGACTTGATGTTAGTGGGCTAATGGCCGTAAAATGTAAGAGATATGCAAATGAGTTGCACTTGATTTCATAATTTTTAAATATATTTTGATAAAATCTTTACAAGTAAAGACTACTAAAATATGTATAATAAATATTTTTAACCCACGGGTTGGGCTCTAAGGCTCGCGGGTTGAGCATATGAGGCTAGCGGGCCAAATAAGGCTGAGCTAAAAAGCCTTGTTCCTAAATGGGCAAAAATTAGGTTCAACACTACTTATTTTAAGGGTTGGATTGAGCTGACTTAACGGGCCAAACCCATTTTGACACCTCTAGTGCCACATAAATTAAAACACATGAAGTAATATATATTATTTAAAAATAATATAAAAATATTATAAATTATGATAAATAAAAACTAAAAATATTTCAAAACAATAATTTTAAAAAAATAATTTTCTAAATTTCAATTATGTCACATAATTTGGATATCTAGTTTTTTAAGATTTAGTTTCACATCTTCATGTTTGTTAAGCCGCCCTAGTGGTAATTTATTACTTTATGAGGAATCCACCTTCAGTAAAGACAAATAAGAAACAACAACAAATGCGCAAGCGGTACACAAGACCAAGAGTAAAGCATTAACCTTGATATACCTAATGTGATGCGATTAGGTTGCTCCTTCCTTAATCAGAGGTTTTGAGTTTGAAATATGAGTATGAAATTCTTTTTATAAAGTGTTACCCTCTGAATGAAGTCTTATCAAACGTGAATCTAAATTAATTGAATTTCAATATAGATATCGAACACTGAATGAAATACTAAAAAAAACCTTGATATAGCTAATTAAGAAGAGAATGATCATGAATCATGTATAATTACCAGGACTAACGTCAAAACATTGGACTTAGATATTCATAAACATATCGTTCGATATTTACTTCTTTTGTTCTAAATTATATGATATTTTGTTTATTCACTTGAGATTTAAATTACAAAAATTTTGACTATTAAATTTATAAGAAAAAAATTTACTATATTGACATGAGAAGATTGTAATTTATAATACTTTTGTATAATTTTTTAATATTTTAATTTTAATTTTAAAATATTCAATTAATGCAATTTAATTTACTTTTAACAATTATTTTACTTTTTACTCCCTCCCTTTACTCCTTTGATAACTCGAACTTATAACTTTAGATTTGAAAATAGTGAGAAATGTTTACCATCCGAGCAACTTTCTCTCGTCCTTAACGATGAGAGAAATATTCTTGCTAGGTGTGACTACTTTCAAGCATTTCGATTTTAGAATTTTCTTTGTTTTTCGTAGAAACTTGGCTTTTAGTATGGAAAATGCGTAAGCTGTATTAGGTAATTAAATAGTAAAATCCAAATTGGAGTTGGTCCAATAAGAAAGCAGGACCCTATATAAGCACATAGACTTCAGGGTGGTTGTAATTGTAATAATTGGCTGGTAATTAAGGTTGCCATGCCTCAGACTCGAGTGCGGGTGTCGATACGGGTGCGAATCTATATATTGGATCCTTCGTGATTTAGTTTTAAAGATTCGGAGATATAGATTCATGTACGGATATTAATGCGGGGATTCGCCTAAATATAATTAAAATATCTAAACATAGAGTTATAAAACCTAAATTATGAGATATTGTGTAGAGAAGTTGAGGAGAATCCGAAAAGGAGATCAAAGGAAAAGGAGCGGCATAGAAATTTCTATATAAAATGTATTTCATTTCCTTCAATTTCACCTTAGCTCTTTTGTATTGATTATGAAATCATTAAAATTGTCAAGACTTTCCCCCATCAATTTTGGTCAAAGTACCCAAAATAGGTTGACCAATTCAGATACGGATCTCATACCCACGCCCACATCCATATCGTGTCGATACATGTGCGGCACCAAAAATGAAGAGTCCAAGCAACTTAGGCGATGCATATTGCTTTTCTGGCCTTTTGCTGAGATCAAGTCCAATATTTCTTCTCGTCGGTCTAATATTTGATATAAGTCATTGATATATATATATATATATATATATATATATATATATTCAATTCTACCAATATAAGTTGTGGTGCAATGATGAGATTATTTCACATTTAATCAGAGTTCTCTGATTCGAACCTTGGATAATTAAGGAGAATATCTTGTTGGGAGCGTTACCCCACATGAACCATGTAGTACGCAATTCTAATTTAGTCGAGGCTCCAATGCAAACTCCCCGAATGGAAAATCAACAAAAAATATTATTGATTCATTTTTTTTTTATGTGTACTCCACTCAAGAAAAAAGTAATATTTGTTGAAGTGGGTAAGCATGAATATACTCTTATTTATTTTATTAGATATATTCTTCCTACGTTTTTTACGGGTGATTTTGATTTTTTATGGGCCAAAATACGTGTAGATTTTCTTTAATAATGGGAGGCAGTAAGTAATATTCAATGTTAAGATCTCTATTTATTCTTATATTATGTTAAGAATTGAATCTAAGATTTAACTCAATTGTAATAACTAACTTGAAAGGTGGAGACCACCAAATCATATAAACATACCACACATTCTATAAGAACCAAATTTTCAACACCCTTACATATCTAGAACGTGAATAATATAATTAGGAAGCCAACATCGAGAAACCAAGAATTAGATGTGTTTTTTTTTTCTTTAAAAATTTGAGGTGGGGAAGCGGAAATGTGGGAGTGGATTACAACATGGGAATTGAATCCTCACCAATAAAGCGAGAATTCAGATTACCAACCAACTAAGATTCCTCTGGATGCGCTTAATTATATGCTCAAGGTTAATTTTTTGTGTTCTTCTTTCTTTCCTTCCTATTTTTTCGACCAAAATATATAGGGGGATTACTCTTCCAGTGGGCAACTAACCTATACCATTAATCATAATTAGTTTATTAATATAAACTTTAGAGAGATCTATACCTATAATATTATTATTATT